TGCAGGGGTAGACTCTGCCCTCCGGGGCCCCCTTAGGTCCCAGACTCTGAATCATACTGGGAACAGAGAAGGAAGAAATGTTACAGTGGGTGGGGGCTGAGGGAGGCTTGGAGAAGAGGTGACTGTTGCTCTAATGCTCACCTTTCAGTTTGTGGCGCCCACACAAAGCCCACCCCCTTCCTCAAGCACAACCTCTTTTCCTTTTTAACATTAATTTTACCTTTGTCTTAACACCCTAGCACTCCCACTCTTGGAAGCCCAAAACCTATGCCAAGTGATGAATCCAAACCTAAGTTTTATTTTTTATTGAGATGACTGTCCATTCTCTATTTTCCGAACTTCCATTAGGAAGAAAACAAAAACAAAAACAAACCAGAAGTAAAACGCAAGGTGGGAGCGATTATATTAACCATTCATTCATTTATCTTTAAGTCTGTAAAGGTGTTCCCTGCTAAAGGCAGACAGTGACTATTTTATTTTAATCTTGTAGTTTCTATCGAGACAGACCTTTTAACCCTTAGTTCTCAGCTCAACCTGAGTCCCCCACACCAGGGGATCCTCCGCACCAGGGCTGGGACCGGTTTAAACCTCCCTCTTGGAGCTGTTTGTTGACCACATTCACGTTCAGAGCCCTGGAGCTAAAAGCACTTTACACCATAAAATAAAAGCACTGTCTTTTTTTCTAAAAGGTTACGTCTGGAGGCCACGCGGCTCATACTTCATACCGAAAACTACTGAAAGGACTATGAAATCCTCTATGATTTACACTCTCTCACTGCATTAGGGTATAGATCTACTCGACTCTAAAAATACGGTGGGTTTCTAACCGACGTGAATATATGTGCATTATTTCAGAAAGTCTGTTAGAAAACTTGTCAACACATTATAAAGCATAAACCAGGACTTGGCTATTAAGTACGGAGATCAGAGGCAGAATATATACTGCAGGAAGTCCTGGGGAGTCTCCTCCGCGGGCAAGATAGAGAGAGGGAGGAGGAGAGGGGAGGGGTCGCCTGTTGGCCTGGAGTTTACATGCAGTGTTGTCACCGAAGGTTTGGGAAAGAGCCCACCGAGCGTAATTAGCCCTTCCGTGGAATCAGCAAAGGTTCTACAGCTCCACATGAAGTTAACTGAAACGCCAGAAAATAATTTTAACGCTGTCATAATTTATTACTTTCTAAAAGCTACTTTTGGAAAGTAAATATACTGACTGTGTATCCAAGTGTGAGCGTTTAAAGTGACCTTTCACCCCTCTACAAACCCACCTGCATCATTAATCAATACTTACGTAATATTTTCAAAGCTCTTAAAACAACACGTTTTTCTTTCTTTAAACACACTGACACACCTTCCCCCTCCCCCACTTTCGGGCGCTTTAGCGAGCATCCGGCAGCAAGGAGGGAGGGGGCGTCACTCGTAAAGGCAAGCAGGAGGGACCGGAGTGGGGGTCCGCGACCAGGAGGGAATCGAATGCCAACACTGAGCCCTGGTTTTCTGGACTGGGTGCAATCAGGCTGGGGGAGGGGCGGGAGTGGAGGGTAGTTCCTATTTCACTCTGGGCATTTTATGATGGTGAAATTAAATATATGTTAATGGTGGAAACGTCGCTACTTACCTCTCCACGGGCACCCAGGGAAGGCAGCTGCAAAACTGGGTTTTAAAGGTATGTTTTAAGATGTGGTTTCGGAAGGAACCCCCTGGAATCTGAAACAAGTGCAATAACATAGCAGACCTACTTGTAACTAAGTGCTTAATTTCCTATGATTTTTTTAAAAAGAAAATCAATAAAATGTTGCCAGTTATTTATTGGAAATAACCACAGATAGCGGCCCTGATAGGGTGCCGGTTTTAGAGAGCATACAATTGTGTAATGAATTGTAATTCAGAAGACTGTTAAATGTGAACCACAGAACCTTTCAGAGGTAATAAAGTCATTACTTTTTACACTACAGCCAACCCTGAAAAGCTTTATACACACCATTATATATAAATCATACATATATATTTCCACAACACACATTCGCTCATTTATATACCTTCTCTATATATGGACTTTTATGGATGGATGGGAAAAATATTTAAATTTGAAAAGCTCGGTTCCGGAAAGAATCGGACTCACTATTGTTACCTGAAGGGGCTTTTATTTTTTTTTTATTTTTCGAAGGCCTCCCAGTTGTACTTTTTTCTTCCCTCTCCTCACCTTCCCTCCAAACATTCTCCTCTACGTCCGGCTCCCCCCACCCCTCGCCTGCAATGATATTCTATTTGGTCGCTCTAAGGCTAGTTGAACAAGATTAAAAAAAAAAAAGACAGTAGTGGAAAAGAGATGCTGACCTGCTCTGAAGAACTCGTGAAAAGGGGGAAATGGTATAACGCACACGCTACAGAGCTTTACTGCAAGTGAATCTTCCTGCTTCTTAAACAGGATTTGAGTCCCCCCCCCTCAGCCCCCACCAAACTGGAGGGAAACAATAACAGCAGACCACATTTACACAAACTCAGTTCAGCCCACATTTCTCCCACTGTTGAGCATCAAAACCTCCTTTTCTTCCTCAGAGGGGCCCGAAGCTTCGCCGAGCAAGGCAAACCAGTTATTTTCTAATGGGTTTGAAACTTTACTAAGACAACACAGGAATAAACAGCCGCTGGCCGGCGCGGCTGGGAGATGGGTGCGCGCCTGCGAGCCGGGGGCCCTCGCTTAAGACAATAAAGCACCCCGCCCAGGAGGTGCATTTACGAAAGCGACGTCCCTCAGACTGAGGAGGGGGAAGAGAAGACACGAGGGCTCGTGGAGCCGCTTGGAGGAGAGGGAAAGAAGGCTCCTCGCTTTGCAGACCCACACTTGTACACGTCCACCTGCAGCTCGCAGTCTCGCGGGCCGCGGCCACCCCTACCCCCCCCTGCACCCTCCGCGCCTCCCTTGGACCTGAGTCCATTTTCTTCTCCCCCCTGCCCTTCCGGATTTGGAATCGCAGCGCGGTCTCTCGGCGGCGGCGTCGGCTGAGGCTACAGGGTGGCGCAGGCAGGCGGGGAGACTGGGAGGCTGGAGGCGCCGGGGGACTTTGCAGGCACGTTTCTGAATAAACTTTCCAATCGCAGGGGGTGCTGTTGCTGTACATTTTACGTAAAACTGAAAGTATCCCACGCCAGAGTGAAGCCCGCTTTTTGACAGCAGCAGCGCGCGCGCGCGCGCGTGTGTGTGCATTAAAGAGACAGGGGTTTATTTCCAACAGGTCTTCCCTAATTTCCCGGGAACGTCTGCAGAAAGGCCAGACCTGGGCTGCGGGCTCCGGTGGGTGCGGCTCCGCCCGGGGCGCCCAGGGAGCGTAGCGCTGACCCGGGTCGGTCACCCCACCACTGTGGCCTCCCCGCGGCTCCCGGGAGCCAGTCGCTCTTTCTTCATTCCCCATTTTCTTTCCCTGGGTAACAGCACTGGACTAGTTGTGCTCTGCGCGTAAGAAACATTTTCTTGCCGTTCCTCGGTGCTTTAGCAGTAGCTCTGGAGTGGGAGGGGGTGTGTCTTTCCCTGGGACCCAGCTTAGGGACCTCCCGCGGCGCCGGGAGCCCGTTCCCAGGGACTGGCACTCCCCGGGCTTTGTCCTCTGGCCGGCGGCGGCCCCGTGAGGTGGACGCCTCTGCGCCTCCCTCGCCCTGGGTCCGGGCACTTCACTCCCGGGGCCGGAACGTGCCCCGAGTCCCGCTCCCTGTTCTTTCTTCCTCCGCGACCGTTGAGAGCCTGACTCCTTGCTCCCAGTGGCATTCAGACCCGATCGTTTGTCTGTGCGTTCAGATCCCCGGCCCCCCAGCTCGGCCTGGGGGGCGCCCTCCCCGCCAGCCGGCCCGGGGCCTGCACCTCCTCTCTCGCCCTTGCCCTCTCTCTCCTGACCGCCCGGGCTCCCGGAGGCCCCCGCGCTGCCTTTCCGGACCCGCAAGCCTCCAAACTTGAGCTGGACTCTGCTTGGCCGGGCGCTCCTTCCCGCCTCCCCTCGCCCGCGGCGTCGCTGTAACTTGGAGGCTCAGCTCCCAACTTCGGGTGATTTTTCTTGGCTATCCTCTCCTCGAGCAAAGTTTCCCGAGCGCAGCCGCGGGCTCTGGGCTTTCGGCCCTCGGCGTCCGCACACGAGGCGCGAGCTCCGCGGCGGCGGCGAAGGGAAGTGGGTGTGCGCACGCAGGAGGGTGTCCGGGAGCAACTCTACCTGGCTTCCCTCCGCCCGCGCTTCCCCGGCCCCTGCAGCCTCCAGACACTTTTTTTTTTTTTAATTTAAAATAATCTTTCATTTTAGGGTCCGCGTGCCGGGGTTGGGGGGAGCAGGGCGCACGTCTGGCTCTCCCCCTCCCCCGCCGCCCCTTCCCTCTCTCCCCGCCAAGCCGCTGCCTCGGCACTCGCTGCGGCCACTGGTGAGCCCGAGGCCCCAGCGCCCCCTCCCCTCCGCCCGCCCCTCCCACGGGGGCCGCGTCTGGCGTCTGCGGAGCCCCCAGCCCGGCACCTCCCCCGCCCCGCACTGGCCATTGGCTTGTCCTGGTCTCTTTTTCATGTCCAGCCCCTGATGTGTGTCCATTGGTGTGAGCTTCCCCTTCCCTCCTCCCCTTCTCTCCTGCTCGCCCTGCCCATGTTTTGTGTGTCTCTGTCCATCCAGACTCCTGACGTTCAAGTTCGCAGGGACGTCACGTCCGCACTTGAACTTGCAGCTCAGGGGGGCTTTTGCCATTTTTTTCATCTCTCTCTCTCTCTCTCCCCCTCTATCTCTCCTCTCTCTCTCTCTCTTTTTTTTTTTTTTGGTTAAAAAAAAAAAAAAGCCATGACGGCTCTCCCACAATTCATCTTCCCTGCGCCATCTTTGTATTATTTCTAATTTATTTTGGATGTCAAAAGGCACTGATGAAGATATTTTCTCTGGAGTCTCCTTCTTTCTAACCCGGCTCTCCCGATGTGAACCGAGCCGTCGTCCGCCCGCCGCCGCCGCCGCCGCCGCCGCCTCCCGCCCGCCCCGCAGCCCACCATGTCTCGCCGCAAGCAAGGCAAACCCCAGCACTTAAGCAAACGGGAATTCTCGCGTAAGTAACCCAATAATAGTAATAATAATTATTAATAATCACGAGAGCGCGCAGGACGAGAAGCAAGAGAAAGGGGGAGAGAGGGGTGTGTGCATGCATTAAAAATTTTTTTTTCCACGAGAAAAACCTCCGAGAGTCGGGATAAAAGAGATTAAAGGGGGGGGGGGGACCAACCTCATCCCATCCCGAATCGTAGCCATATGTACACTTTTGGGATAGCACGAATCTTTTAATTTTATTTAATTTTTACAAAAATTTGACTCCTCCTCTTTCCTGCTTTCCTCTGCTTTATTTCGCTTTTCGGAAAGGAATGCAATGATTTCGCCTCCAGTTTTGCAAAATAATGAACAATGCTGTGGATGCTAACAACTCTCCTGCAAACCTAAGGGAGGGAACTGGAGGGGAAAAGGGGGTTACTTCCACTTACCGTAGGAAGAAAAACGGGGGGTGGGGAGCCCAAGTTAAAAAAAAAAATTCCCGGGGAGAAAAGAGGTGAAACTGGCCCTTGGACACCAGCGCGCTCACGGTCAAGTGTGCACTGGGAGGAAAGTAGTCATCTCCACAATAGTGAGAAAGTGGGATTGTGGGAGGGGGCCCCGGGCGCTCTTGAGTCCGCCGAGTCTGGAGAGGGGCCGCGGCGGCCGGGAGAGCTTGGGCGACCGGGAAGGACCGGAGCCGCGGCCGGCGCTGCAGCCTTTTGTTCCGGCCCGAGGTGGGTGTTTGCCCCGCTGCCTTTTGTGCCGGCTCCTCGCGCTTGCCCTCCCGCGCCGCCGCCGCCGCCGCCGCCGCCGAAGGGCAGGAGCGAGGGCCGGGGGCCAGTCGAAGAGGGAGGGAGGGCGCTGTGGCTGCTGCCGCCCGGGTTGCCACTGCCCGCCCCTCCCGGCCGAACCTCAGCGGCGGCGAAAATAGGTGAAAAATAAAATAAAATACATAAAATAAAACAAGGCAACGTTTTCTTTTTGCCCCCAGACAGACGGCAAACGCTCCGCCAGCCGTTTTCAGCAACGCTCTCCTCTTTGACTCCCCCTCCGCCACCACCGCCCCCCCCCCGCTACAAAAATCTCACAATCTCTTATAGAGGGGGAAAAATACAATTACCCCTTCACCAAAACCTCTTTAGTTGCAAACTTAGAGCGCCGGCGGCACAGAGAGGGAGCGAGGAACTCCCTCCTCTTACTATTTTTTGGAAGATTTTCAAAAAAAGTGGAAGTGGATTTTGATTGGGAAAAATCTCGTGTCTGAATGTTTACAAGCACCGCGTGTGCGGGAGCCTCCTGCCAACAAACAGACAGAGGACCGAGCGCGGCGCGGCAGGCCGGGAGCGGGCGGCGGCTGCGGCCGGGCCTCGCCGGGGCCTCGCCCGGCCTCGCCGCGCCCCCGCCCCGCCCGGGATCGCCCACCCGGCGCCCGCCGCCCGCCCGCTGGCCGAGCGGCAGGCGGTGCTGCGACTCAGCGCCAGAGGGTCCAGGGTCCTCTCTGGCCCCTTAGTACAATGCTCAGACCTCCTCTTGGCCAACCCCACTGCGAAATCGGCTGGGGAGAAACTCGTCTTTGCAAAGCATTTTTATTTTGCAAAGCAACCCTAAAAGCGAGTCCTGTCCGTCCCCTACCAGCGACGCCTCTTGCCCCCAGCTCGGGGCAGCGGGGAGATCACCACGTGCCTTCCCTGCCCCCCCTCCCACAGGGACAAGCCTATAGCCCCCAGCTCGCCAGCTCGGCCGAGCAAGGTTGGGGGTGGGGGTGGGGGGTGGGGGGAGAGGGGTGGGTGGTAGGCGGTAGGGGAGTAGTTGCTTTTGGGGAGTATTCGACTCCGGGACTCCACGCATCCCTCCCTCGAATTCCTGCTCTCTACCTCGGGCCTGGCTCGGTCTGGGGGCCCTTCTGAGTCTGTATAAGGGAGGTGGGGTGGTTAAGTGGGTGGCTGTCTCCAGGCTAACAGAATGCGCCTGGAAAGGCAGGCGGTGGGCGCTTAGGAAAGTTTGGCTGCAAGGGAAAGAAAGGCGTGAGAGAGCCCACTTCCCTCCCCCATCTCATACATGACCCTTATTTTAATTTTTGCTGCGATTTTAAAGGACCACCCCATATCCAGTTCTGTATTTTTTAAAGGTGTGTGTGTGGGGTGCGCATAGGGAATTGAATTTTTCACTGGGCCCTGGAACTTGTCACACACTTCGAAAGCTCCCCCGCCCGGGCACTTTGCGGGGCCCTCCCTCTCCCCACCCCCGCGCATCCCTCCCTCACCGCTCTCCCCCGCCCCCACTCCCCCGGCCGCGCCGGATGCGGAGCAGACGCGGCGCGCGGCGGTGTGAAGTTACAGCCCGGCCAGGTACCGGCGGGAAGGAAGGGCAGTGTTCGCAGCACTCGGGAAAGCCGGGCCCTTCTTCGGAAGGATGCACTGGGGGCTCAAAGGACGGACTGTGGCGTGCAGTCCAGGCTGCTCCCCCGTCCCCCACTCTCTCGGGGCCCATCCCGAGACTCCAGGCTGGGTGGGTTAGCCCCTTGGAATCCCCGAGTCTCAGGATGGGTTTTGGGTTAAGGGGCCAATTTAAAGTGGGTGCGGTGGTCGCTCCTTTCTGATTTTCTGGGTGCGCAGAGGGGGCGGGAGCCATTCTCGTCTTCAGGACCCCTTTCCCTCCCCCCTGCCCCCATCCCCCGCTTCTAGGGCTGAATGAGCCGTTCGGTCGCTAGGAGGCAGAACAAGATCAAGAAAGCTCAGCGAACTTGAACCTGTACCAGGGCCTCCCCCACCCCCCTCTGCATTTCTCGACCCGGAGGGAAGAGCTTTGCGAGGGTGGGGGTGGGGGAAACGGACGGTTAGGCAGAATTCCCTTTCTCTCCCCCCCACCCCATCACCCCTTCTGTCTTTGTTCTTCGTTTTGACTTTAAAAATGCTTCTGGCCAGGGCTGCGGAGAAGCGCCCGGGCGCGCGGCCGACTCCCCAGTGCACCGGGAGTGGAGCGGGGTGCAGTTTTCGTTTTTTGGGGCAGGCGTTTTTGGTTGGGAGGAAAGGGGAGTGCGCGCTCTCCGGCTTTGGGGCAAGGCCGAAGGCGGGATCCGGCAAGTTTGCACTTAGTCTCCAGGTTCACTTCTCCCGGCCCCTCATCCCCGTGCAAAGCGCGGACCGAGGCAGCCGCAGCAGGCTTGCCGGGCGCCTCTGCAGCCCGACCCCCCCCGCCCCCGCTCCCCCGCCTCCTGCAGCTCTCGCCTCCGAGCCCGAAATCACAACAATAGTAATAGTTATCATCATAATGATGCGGGCAAACGGCGTCATTAATAATGAATAACCGCAGCCGCCGCCGCGCTGTGCACACCGGTGCCGGGGATTGCGGGAGAAACGCATTTGCAGAGATCCCTCAAAGTAAAAAGTGTAAGCCTGTGGACACAGAATGAGTTTCAGGACCCGCGCCTGAGGTGTGTGTGCGGTGATCCCCAGACAGCGCCAGGTTAACCTGCCGAGTTTTCCAAGCCTCACTTCCCGTGTCTCCACCTGGTGGGCCTGGGGAACCGTCGTCACCCCGCGGCCGGGCAGGACGGGCGTGGAGGCAGCAGTCGGGGCCCGGGGCTGCCCGCCGCCTCCCGCCCCCAGCCCCCGACTCCGGCTCCGGGCCCCGCGGCCGCCGCTGCACGTGTTCGCAGCGAGCGCGGCCGGAGCCTGCGGACCGCACGCTACTCGCTTTGTGCCTGAGTCCCGGTGCCCAACTTCACTTTCCGCGCAGCGCCCCCCCCCCCCCCCCCCCCCCGCGCCGGGCCCCCTGCCCCGGGCCTGTCGCCCCTGCCTTCGCTTTTGGTTTTTTGCTTTTTCTCTCCGCATTTCAGTCTCGGTGTGCTTCCTTACCCTGTTAAGACAATCAAAGGGAAGGACTTGGAAAGCAAACTTGAAGACAGAGCTCCTTTCCCCCTCCCCCTCCCCAGCAGCCCTTGTTTCCCTTGCTCCTTCCCTACATTTCTTATAAGGCTTTTTTTTTTTTTTTTTTAAATTTATTCCTTTGCAACTGCTGAGAGAGGAAAGAGATCCCAGTTCAGCGGCTGGGGCATTGAGTCGTTTCAGTCAGTCTTGCTGTTTGAACGCAGAAGCATTTTATTTTGTATTTCTTTTTCCCCTTGTAGAGAATTCGCGGCTAATTATTATGATTATTTGCCCACTCCCTTCCACTTCAATCCTGGACTCCCTGCTTTGTATCCGGCGCTTAGGCCGGAGCTTAGAAACGCCGGTTTTGTGGGGGTGAAGGAGGATGGAATTGAATTGAGGGAGGGGGTAAAATGGCTGAGGTTAGGAATGTTTTTAGGGAAAGGGGAATTTGCATTAAAATACAGAGAAATTATCAGAGCCCAGAAAGGAAATGTTGATTGCCACTGAGAAAAGATGTCAATGCAAATCAGTAGATTACACCAAGAGAATTGTATTTTCATATTTTCTTTGTGCCCCACTTCGTCTGATTTTTAATAATGTAGCAGCAACGATAAGAACACATTTTGGTATTTCTGTGAACATCACCAGCCAAATGTTTAGCAGAGAGCCTGATGTTAAAGGTATTTCATACATTAGGATATAATTCTTGTTAATTAGCAATAATTTACGTTAAGAGCATAGAAAATGTTGAGGTTATAGGTTTTATATCTGTACATTTGATCATCTTGTTATTTTCAAGAACTTTGCCTCCTATAAAATTAATTAGGTGAAATGTGGAGGTGTAATCAGCAACCTCTGAATTACCACTTCATTTCCTGGTTTTGATTGTAAATCAGTTCAGTCACTACATTTAGAAGACTTTAACCAAGTCTGTTTTGTACCGCGTTACCTTTAACTGTTTGATACCTAGGAGAATATCTTCTCTTGCTCCCAAATAATATTTCCATTTTCAGAAATGTGTCAGGGCTTGGGGATAAAGAACAAATCCTAACGATGGAGTTAAAAAAAATTTTTTTTTTTTTTTTTGGCCAAGGTTCTATGTACTACTAACTTTTATAAAATGAGGTATTTCTCCTCAGTCTTTCTTCAATCTGTAAACCTCTGAACTCGTAGTTAATGCTGAACAACAACCAAAAAAGCCACTTTTGTTAATGTGTATTTAAAATCCTTAATTCAAATAGGAGGAATCTTGGTGAATAACTTCTTTATTCAGTTCCTCCCTTGTCACAATGAAAGCAAGCAGGGGAAAGATGACATAGACGCATAATGCAAAAGCACTTCTGTTTGCTTTTATTTGGAAAGTATGCATGTGTATCTATCTTTCGGTCAGTATGTTGGGCAAAGAAATGTAAGTGCTTACTTTTCTGTCTTTATTAGTAGGAATATAACCTTCATATTCCTGTGGTGACCTTATGTTAAATTAGGAGGAGTACCAGAGGCTAGAAATTATGACATGTCCTAGTTGAGCACAGGTGCAGCTAGACAGGGCTCTCTCAATATTATTTCACCCAGCACATCTGGGAGTTACTCCAGATCTTCCCCCTCAGTATTCAGCCTGGGTAGGGTTGAAATAAATTTAACCTGAGTTCACTGGATTTTTGCACTTTATCAAAATCTGTTCCAATATTCTACACTCAAATTAAAATCTATTTTTTGATTCTCTGTGGCTTTAAGTTCATTAAATGTGAAATTGGCAGCTTGCTAAAGAAGGTCAGACTGATTAACTGTTTAAGACTTGTACATTTTCTGCTTCAGTTTTATTAACTGGCAGCATCCTGGATGTATTTTGTGTTTTGTAAATTTTTTTTTTTGGTGATGGAGTAAGTGTAAGGTTTCAGGAGCAGTGACTTACTCTTATTTCCCCTTTGGAAGTTTAAAAAATGATAGAAGCTGTTCAAATACATGCTTGAGTATTTTGGTGCAAAGTTGTTGTTGTTTTTTTTTTTTAAAGAAACAGGAATGAAAGACATATCTACCTTGTTGTACCATCCACTGGTGATCATGTGTGCAGAAATAGTCCCATAATGAAGCATTTTGGAGCTCATTCAGAAAATTAGTCAACTTTGACAACATTAGGCAAAGTATTTCAAGTCTTAAGAAAGGACTTCTTAGCCTTGATCTGAAATGTGGCATTTGCTTGACCATTCTGATTTTTATGTGATGGGGGCCACCAAGTGCAAACATATTTAGAATATTTTAGGCATTCCATTCTTCAGAATGAAAAAATGACTAATTGGCTTATTTTCTTAAGTACTCAAAAGTATCCCATTTAGCTAATGTGTCTGAGAAGAATTGCCAGTGAATTTGGTATTTGTTTGATTTTGTGGCACTGCTGAGAGTGAGATCAGAAAGGTTTTTGGCAGTGTGGGTTATACTGCGTTATGATTATTTAGATTCGTTTCACAGGTGAATACAGTCTTTTTCGTATTACAGCAGTGTAAATATGGCACGTTTTCTGTGTGATGTAGTAGCTTTCTAATTTAGGAAGCCATGTCTCTGTATATTTTGAGTGTATATGTTCACACACAAAGAGGGTGTGTGTGTGTGTGTTTATTCACCTCTCCTTTTATTCTTGGGCACAATAGACAACTTACTGTGCAGGAAAAAAGAAAGAAATTTGGTTTCAATCCATGTTTTTGCCAGTTCTTTGGGGGTGGTTATTATTGAAGCTTACGTTATGTTTCTGTGCTAACTATTTATTTAAATAACAGTCACATTCTTTCTAAACTCACAAACTGGACACTTGTGTGTGTGTGTGTGTGTGTGTGTATGTGTGTGTGTTATGTATATATGTATGTGTAGTTTTCCATGGAAGTATGCCAGTCAGGCAGTTTTCTTTATATGATGGTTTGCCTCTATGATAAATTTGCTTTCTTGTTGTCAGTTTCCACACCCGTGTATGTTTCAGGTGCTCACATGTTTTTCTGAGAATTAAATGGAGGAGCCTAGAAACCCTTTACATAATGTGCTGGGGTGGGATGGGGTTGAGAATGTATTCCCCCCTTTCCTCTCCTTTCTGGCCCTCTAATAATTGTGCTTTTGTTTCTTCAACCACAGCCGAGCCTCTTGAAGCCATTCTTACAGATGATGAACCGGACCACGGACCTTTGGGAGCCCCAGAAGGGGACCACGACCTCCTCACGTGTGGGCAGTGCCAGATGAACTTCCCGTTGGGGGACATTCTCATTTTTATCGAGCACAAACGGAAACAATGCAATGGCAGCCTCTGCTTAGAAAAAGCTGTGGATAAGCCACCTTCCCCTTCACCAATCGAGATGAAAAAAGCATCCAATCCCGTGGAGGTTGGCATCCAGGTCACGCCAGAGGATGACGATTGTTTATCAACGTCATCTAGAGGAATTTGCCCCAAACAGGAACACATAGCAGGTAAATGAGAAGCAAGGAGAAAAGCTGTTTGCATGTTTTCTTTTCATTTTCAGAGGCACTGTAGCCACGCACTAAGGAGTGGTGAAGTGCTTTCTGTGTTTCTCCATGTGACTGTCCATGACAGCCCTGTAACGTTAAAGTAATCATTCCTATGGCTTATGTCCAGAACACACAAAAATAAATATTTTCCACTTCACTTGAGTCAGATGTAGGCAGGATAGGTTACACACACCTGATATCCTCTCTTTGCATCTACTGATTCTGAATTTCCTTTTCTCTCCCCTTCTCATTTTGAATTGTCGAGCCTTACTACACCTAGCCCAGTTTCCAAAGCCCATTTCCAGCCCTGGTGATAAGTCAGAGGCAGAGGGGCTGTATGGGCATTTGTAGTTCGGCCAGTGACATGTTTGGGTCAGAATACCTGATCAGGCCTCCCTAGGGGTGCAGTTTGTTCTCGAGGCTTCCGTGACGTTGGGTGGGCTGGAGGGGCATTTTGGAGGGACTGGAAAGAGTTAACTGAGCTTCGGGGCTAGCCTTGGATCCATATTGGCTGTCAGCCCGTATGGGGCTGTAATTAAACACAGCCCCGTGGTGGGATGACACCGTGACCTTGACTTTAAGATGCCATTTTCGACTGGCCAGGCCAGAGTAGAGAGGGCAGTTGCTGAAGCGCACAGACATGCTTACTCGAAAAGTTTAAGGGCATGTTGGAAATTTCAAAAGGTTGGTTTGACAGGAACGGCTGCTCCCTGCAGCCTGCCTCCTCAGCTAAATGATAAATGCTTCTTTGTGCTCTCCCTTGTCTCTGATGTGGTTTTGACAGATGTATCTTGATTTTGTTTGTGGTTTACACAACCACATGTCACCCTTACAAATGTCCAGTCCAGACTTCACTGTTTCTGCTGTAACACAATGTTAAAATTCTCTTGGAAAAATACATACACACATTCAACAGCCCTGCTTCCTCTGGTTAATTTTAGCAGAAAGGTAACTAGAGGTATGGGTTTCTAAGCAGTGCAAGGGAGAGGAGTTAACCTCTAACAGAGGGACTTAAATCCCTACTCTGAATGATAATCAACAACATTATATAGTGACCCTTAAAACATTAAAAAAAATGAAACAACAGTGATTTAATGTACAAGATGAAGTGAATGCGGATTCTGTAGTGACAAAACCGGCATGTCCAAATCACTTTCCTCTATTTCCCTTGCCCCTGCCCCCCAAAAGCATAAGGTTTGTTTAGATTTAGGAAGGGTAGTGCATAGAATCAGTTGATGCCCTGGAACTTGTCCCTCCGACTGAGTTTGACCAGAGAGTTGAACTGTAGTGGGTCAGTGGTCCAGAGGGGATTAAATGTTGTATCATTTCTCCTCCCCCCTCTGGAATTTGCTCATTAAAATCAAATGTGGCATTTTCTTTCTTTTTTAACGCTTCCTGCAATAGCACCCAGATACTTTACCTTCAGTAAAACGAGAAAGCTGCTGCCAGGGAAGCTGCGTTTACAAACTGTTTTCTTGAATCCATCGCATGTAGCTTATATGCCATGCAGGTTACAATTTGATCTGTCCCCCCAGCCCCCCAGTAGGATATGGTGGTGACCATTTCCATGTGCTGTCTTGTGACTGGAAGGAAAATGAACAGAAGTGTAAGGCATGATTAATGAAGCTAGAGCAAGCGGAAGGAGATTTGGTCTTCGGAGATCCAAAGCCTTTCTAAATCGCCAAATATGGAGTAACACTTGCGTGATGTAACATCGTATTTACATATCGAGCCGCTCGTTTAAAAAGACAAAACACAGTGTCTGTCAAGCAAGAATTAAAACCACACTTCTTACTGAGGTCCCAAGTAGGTTATTCAGTCTCCGATTAACCAGCTTGAAAATTCTGTGCCTCTGTACTTAGAGGAGAAATCTAAAAGCTGGTGGGGGGAGGCCCTATAGTGAAGGCTTTCCACTGTCACAGTTGTAAATCTACATAGGGAAAGAAGAGATTTTCCTGAACTCTGTGATTGTCATAAAGATTCTTCTTTTTTTTTTTTTTAAAGGAGTAGTACTGTAAGAGAGCTCAAAGAAGGACCCCCTCCACACAAAAAAGCACATTTAAGATATGTTTTATAGGGCTAATGCTAAGCAATTTCGCTGAGATGAAAAGCTACCTAAGCCATCTAAGATATTCAATGGGTGCACCAGTGCTGCGACCCAGGTGAGGTAAACCTTTCATGCACAAATAATTACAAAGTCTTGATTCCTTTCATTGTGTTTAATCACCTGTTCCCACCCTGGAATTGGCTGAACATAAATAGCGTGGTCACATCTCAAGGCGAGATGTCAGTAACTAGAATCACGACTTCTCATAATTCACGGTAATGAATTAAGAGTTTCCTATGGTGAAATTAACATTCTGCCATTGCACGTAAATTAAGATGCCCTGGCTCTCAGGTGCCTCTGAAGTGAAGTTCTGGAAGACGGCTGTGTACTCACAGCCCATTTCTCTCAAGCACATCTTCACGGTTCCAAGTCTGCTTTTCTTTTTATGGTGAGGAAGGAAACAATAAGAGTTATCATTCAGTAGATATTTGAATTGTGTCACACACAAAAAAGAGAAGCAATGCTCTGTATTAGGAAAGAGATATATTGATGAATCTCTAGAAGAATATATTTGGCAACTGTATAAAAGGTAGTTATTTAAATGTGCTGTGCAGGAAAGGGTTTATTAAAGTGGTGTAAGTTGGATATGAGCTTACTGTGTGTTCTCTGCCGTCTTATAGGCAGGAAGCTGGAATCAAACAGCGACAGATCTTCTTCCTGAGATAAATAAAGCTTAGAATTTGGGCTTTCACACAGGAGGCTGAGTGGAGTTCTTTAAATCTTCAGTAAGATGCCATGCGTTTGGCTGTACATAGGCCTCTCAAAGCTGAGTATTTTTTAGTGAGGATAATTCTTACCAGGTTGAATGTACACATACATGTTGTTCAGGTTGTTTTTTTTCATTTTATTCAAATATTCAAAATATTGTGGGATTACGATCCACTGAGACCCCTGAAGTCTTGTTAATTTAACTGGAAACCAGTAGGTTGTAATCTGCAGGGCCCAGTTCTTCAGTGTCTGTGTCAAATATCCACAATTGGATATCAGCAGTCTTTGACTGGCAGTTAGGGCTTTTAATTGGGGTTTTGTTTTGTTTCCTAGTCTCATGTTCTATGAGGGGGGCAAGTATTCATTGAAGATTAGTGACTGTGGAACTGCTGTTCACTTATAGAAAAGGCCAAAAAATATTATCCCACAGTGTCAGCTTTGAGGTTTTGGCTTATTGCACATAGAAATCTTTAAATTAGGATTGAACTGTCATAAAGTTAGCTTTTTGAGAGAGTGGCAGAAAATATGATGAGTCCTGTGAACTGTCAAGCAGTCTGTTGCTGTCTAACACTTTTTCTCTTTAAAATCAAGAACGTAGGCATTGATATCAGGGTATTTAAAAATTATTTGCCTAGAAAATACACCTCATACCTAGGTAATAATATGTAAGGCAGAAGCTCTGTGGAAGAAAAAGTACCAATTTAATCCAGAAATATACAAGCATGTTACTTAAAGGTAAATCAAGTATAATAACATACTCATGCTTTTTAGAATTTAAAAACTCAACTTGCCTTTTCTTTTTGTACCCATTTGAATTCTTTCCTATCTCAGACTGAACTGGAGGATGTACTTTATGATATAATTGTAAAGAAGGCTATAAATTATAGTATCCTATTATAACCTATTTTTCATTTCTCTTTATTTGTGTGATTCTGAATAAAAATCACTGACTTCTGAAGTGAATTTTTAGTGTGACAGCTACAAAAAATGACAAGCAAACAAAAAAATCCCCAGTATACTGGTGAACATTTTATTTAACCTTCACACTCAGAGAATAAAGAATATTGTTTCTTAATAAATACCTAGGATTTTCACTGGGAGCCCATGTTTGCGAGGCCATTACCCAAAGCCTCATGTTCATGAGACTGGGAGTCCTATATACAAGATGTATTTGTAAATAAGACAGAGAAAGGTTGTGAACTGGCAGCTTGGATGTTTTGTCAAAGTACAATGTCAGAGAAACTCTTTCTAAGACAAATTGTAAATAGAACTGTCACAGCGATTGCATGATTGAGCCGCAGAAGTGTCTTACAATTGTTGGCATTGTCAGAGGACTTTTGAAAGCTTAATTAAACACAGTGGCCCGCATGGCTGCTAAATTTACTTGGGCAAGCCAAAAAGAAAAAACAATCTAAAATGTGGAAGATCCCAAAGATCCCAAAGTTCTTGTGACGTTACCCTTTTGGTGACACAGAAAAGATGCATTGTGTGTTTTCCTAGTTGTCTTTTATAAATACTAGTTTTGAGAACAGGGCCACGTGATATGAAGATCGTCCCGTGTGTGATGTGGAGATTGTGTTAGTTTTTCTGTCTCCTGCTGTTACAGACAGTTAATGTAAAAATGGCCTTTTATTGGAAACACAAATATGTATTCACTTCAAGAACAGGAGCAGGGGGGATGTTTCCCTCCCATTCTCCGTGTTTATTCTGTGAAGGCTTAAAAAAAAACAGTGCTGTAATTTCTCAAATCATCCCATTCCTAGTTTTGTTGCAAGTTGTGCCTTTTACTTTTAAAGGATATGAAATCTATTTTGCACACCTTTCTCCTGGTGTATGTGGCATTTAATTGTGGAGCTGCCCATGGGTTGGAAAATGCAACTGGGTATAGACACATGCAGGTAGAGTTAGAACAGAGTTAGAACAGCAAACCTCAGGGAAGAGGTGAGTTGGATGCATATTAATGGCACATTGTACAATCCTGGAAAATCATTATTTTCACACTGCTGTCTCAGTTTGGCAAATGTGGGGGACTGAATTGGAATATATAACAGATGTGCAAAACCTAAGCAGGCATTTTTCAGAATTTTGTGATTTCTTAGCGAAAGTGTTTCAAAAAGAAGAATAGGTGAATGGTGGCCTTGCATAC